TAACAAACTAGCTACCTGACAGAGGTACTGTAACAAACTAGCTACCTGACAGTGGTACTGTAACAAACTAGCTACCTGGCAGAGGTACTGTAACAAACTAGCTACCTGACAGTGGTACTATAACAAACTAGCTACCTGACAGAGGTACTGTAACAAACTAGCTACTTGACAGAGTTACTGACAGAGGAACTATATTTGAAGTAGAATGTAAACATGCTTTATACATTTTACTTCAGAAGTTATTAGTAATTATTTTTAGGTGATTTTAACTGAGGTGAACTTAGAAAATTAATTCTGCAGTGTATGGTAGTTTGATGTTAGACAATGCATGAAGACACATACAAATGCAACCTATTGATCAGTAAAATGTTGTACGCACTGTGAATATCCTACATGTGTAAACACAGGCAAGTTTTAGTTATATCCTCCTCTCACTTGAACAATAATTTCTATTCCATGCCACAACTCTCAAAGCTTAATTCATGAAGACTGACAGCCAAAAAACAAGACTTTAAAACAGCGATGCCAAATGGGAATATTTAATGTGACAATGATATAACTAATTGTTGACATTCTTAAATGTGACTGATAGTTTAACTTTTATGTGTGGTTTGTTTATAGCACGGGACTATGAGCTGTGTCGGGATTTAATACGACTCCAGGAGGTGTTAGGGGAGGGTCAGTTTGGAGATGTCCACAAGGGTATCTACATAGACAAGGTCAGTACAAACTGTCATTGTAGGTGTTGGGGGGGGGGGGGGGGGGGGAGGGTCAGTTTGAAGATGTCCACAAGGGTATATACATAGACAAGGTTAGTTCAAACTGTCATTGTAGGTGTCGGGAGAGGGTAAGTTTGGAGATGTCCACAAGGATATCTACATAGACAAGGTCAGTACAAACTGTCATTGTAGGTGTTGGGGGAGGGTCAGTTTGGAGATGTCAACAAGGATATCTACATAGACAAGGTTAGTACAAACTGTCATTGTAGGTGTTGGGAGAGGGTCAGTTTGGAGATGTCCACAGGGGTATCTTTATTGTAGGTGTTCTGGGAGGGTCAGTTTGGAGATGTCTACAAGGATATCTACATAGACAAGGTCAGTACAAACTGTCATTGAAGGTGTGTGGGGGAGGGTCAGTTTGGAGATGTCAACAAGGATATCTACATAGACAAGGTAAGTACAAACTGTTTTTGTATATGTCAGGGTAGGGTAAGTTTGGAGATGTCTACAAGGATATCTACATAGACAAGGTCAGTACAAACTGTTTTTGTATATGTCAGGGTAGGGTAAGTTTGGAGATGTCCACAGGGGTATCTTTATTGTAGGTGTTGGGGGAGGTTCAGTTTGGAGATGTCCACAAGGATATCTACATAAACAAGGTTAGTACAATCTTTCATTGTAGGTGTGTGGGGGAGGGTAAGTTTGGAGATGTCCACAGGGGTATCTTTATTGTAGGTGTTGGGGGAGGTTCAGTTTGGAGATGTCCACAAGGATATCTACATAAACAAGGTTAGTACAATCTTTCATTGTAGGTGTGTGGGGGAGGGTAAGTTTGGAGATGTCCACAGGGGTATCTTTATTGTAGGTGTTGGGGGAGGTTCAGTTTGGAGATGTCCACAAGGATATCTACATAAACAAGGTTAGTACAAACTGTCATTGTAGGTGTGTGGGGGAGGGTCAGTTTGGAGATGTCCACAAGGATATCTACATAAACAAGGTTAGTACAAACTGTCATTGTAGGTGTGTGGGGGAGGGTCAGTTTGGAGATGTCCACAAGGATATCTACATAAACAAGGTTAGTACAAACTGTCATTGTAGGTGTGTGGGGGAGGGTAAGTTTGGAGATGTCCACCAGGATATCTACATAGACAAGGTTAGTACAAACTGTCATTGTAGGTGCGTGGGGGAGGGTCAGTTTGGAGATGTCCACAAGGATATCTACATAAACAAGGTTAGTATAAACTGTCATTGTATGTCCACAAGGATATCTACATAAACAAGGTTAGTATAAACTGTCATTGTAGATGTGTGGGGGAGGTTCAGTTTGGAGATGTCCACAAGGATATCTACATAAACAAGGTTAGTACAAACTGTCATTGTAGGTGTTGGGGGAGGGTCAGTTTGGAGATGTCCACAAGGGTATCTACATAAACAAGGTTAGTACAAACTGTCATTGTAGGTGTTGGGGGAGGGTCAGTTTGGAGATGTCCACAAGGGTATCTACATAAACAAGGTTAGTACAAACTGTCATTGTAGGTGTTGGGGGAGGGTCAGTTTGGAGATGTCCACAAGGGTATCTACATAAACAAGGTTAGTACAAACTGTCATTGTAGGTGTTGGGGGAGGGTCAGTTTGGAGATGTCCACAAGGGTATCTACATAAACAAGGTTAGTACAAACTGTCATTGTAGGTGTTGGGGGAGGGTCAGTTTGGAGATGTCTACAAGGATATCTACATAGACAAGGTCAGTACAAACTGTTTTTGTATATGTCAGGGTAGGGTAAGTTTGGAGATGTCCACAGGGGTATCTTTATTGTAGGTGTTGGGGGAGGTTCAGTTTGGAGATGTCCACAAGGATATCTACATAAACAAGGTTAGTACAATCTTTCATTGTAGGTGTGTGGGGGAGGGTAAGTTTGGAGATGTCCACAGGGGTATCTTTATTGTAGGTGTTGGGGGAGGTTCAGTTTGGAGATGTCCACAAGGATATCTACATAAACAAGGTTAGTACAAACTGTCATTGTAGGTGTGTGGGGGAGGTTCAGTTTGGAGATGTCCACAAGGATATCTACATAAACAAGGTTAGTACAAACTGTCATTGTAGGTGTGTGGGGGAGGTTCAGTTTGGAGATGTCCACAAGGATATCTACATAAACAAGGTTAGTACAAACTGTCATTGTAGGTGTGTGGGGGAGGTTCAGTTTGGAGATGTCCACAAGGATATCTACATAAACAAGGTTAGTACAAACTGTCATTGTAGGTGTGTGGGGGAGGGTAAGTTTGGAGATGTCCACCAGGATATCTACATAGACAAGGTTAGTACAAACTGTCATTGTAGGTGCGTGGGGGAGGGTCAGTTTGGAGATATCCACAAGGATACCTACATAAACAAGGTTAGTATAAACTGTCATTGTAGATGTGTGGGGGAGGTTCAGTTTGGAGATGTCCACAAGGATATCTACATAAACAAGGTTAGTACAAACTGTCATTGTAGGTGTTGGGGGAGGGTCAGTTTGGAGATGTCCGCAAGGGTATCTACATAAACAAGGTCAGTACAAACTGTCATTGTAGGTGTGTGGGGGAGGGTCCTAAAGCTAAAAGCCATTGGACTGTTTGCAGATTTGTTGAAATTGCATATGATATGACTTGTAGGATGGAATGTCTGTCGCTGTGGCGGTGAAAACTTGTAAAGAGGACAATGAAGAGTCTATGACAGAGAAGTTCTTAGAAGAGGCATGTAAGTAGATCAAGATCATTCACTGTAGAAAGTGAAATTAATATATGAATGGAGATGACATATTTGTTGTCCTAGAATTTTACTTCAGCTTATTTTAAGCGATGTGAAACATTTTTAGCTCAAAATTCGGGCCAATTGAGCTTGTGCTGTACTGCTGCATCTGTCATCTGTCCTTCAACTTTTTCTTTTGAACAACTACTTCTGAAGAACTGGAGGACCAAGGGTCTTGACATTTGACCATTAGGTAGATGGGATGGAGTGCTATTAAGTTTCCTTATTAAAATGACCTTGACCTACTTTCAAGGTCACAGGGGTCATATATGTTACAAAATTCAATCAACAATATTTAAAGGACCATCAGGACTAGAGCCATGATACTTGAATATGTTATGTAGACCAGGAGTGTGAATCTTTTTTATGCCCCCGCCATAAAATGGGGGGGCATATAGTGTTGCCCATGTCCGTCCCGTCCCATCACGTCCCCGTCCTGTCCATGAGCGGGGGCATTTATGTCTTTCAGACTTTTTCTAGTCTTTATTATGGTAATGAGGGCAAAGTTCAACATTGAAGTGCTAGTTGGGGTCAAAGGTCAATGTAAGTAAACACCTTTAACAATCTTCTCAAGTTCCATAAGGCCCAGGGTCATGATATTTGGCCAGTAGGTATGCATGCACCTGCTCGAAAATTAAGGGCTAGTGAGCTTAAGCAATGGCGCGACGTCGTCATCAACTTTTCCTACAAATCGCTACTTGTCATAAACGACCGAGCAGATTTTGACCAAATTTGGTCAGAAGCATCCTTAGGTGAAGGGGAACAAATTTTGTATAAACAGCGGTTTGTCCCCCCTGGGGAATGAGGAGCGTGGCAAAATAGGGGAAATGTAGCAAATTCTTTAAAATCCTTCTTCTTCTGTAGAAATGAAAGGATTTGTTCGATATTTGGTCTGAAGCATCCTTGGGTGAAGGGGAACCAATTTTGTATAAACCGTGGGTCTGGCCCCCCTGGGGCCCGAGTGGTGGGGCTGAATAGTGGAAACATAGTAAATTCTTTAAAATCCTTCTTCTTCTGTTGGAATGAAAGGATTTGTTGCATATTTGGTCTGAAGCATCCTTTGGTAAAGGGGAACCAATTTTGTATAAACCATGGGTCTGGCCCCCCATGGGCCTGAGTGGCGGGGCCAAAAGGGGACAATTGGGCTATATTGATTTAAGCAACTCCATCTCTGGAATATCTCTGGATATCAACCATATTTAACTGGAAGCATCCCTCAGTAATAAAGATTCAAAATTGTACAAAAGGTTGGGCTGAACCCCCAGGGGGCTGGGGCAAAAGGTGGCAATTTGTCTTTATTACTACCAACGACTTCATCTGTAGAACTATGCACTGGATATCAACTATATTTGACTTGAAGCATCCCTAGGTGGTGGGGATTCAAAATTGTACAAATGGTAAGGTTAAGGGGTGGGCCAAAAAAAGTTAATTACTAGGAAATGGTTGAGATCCCCAGAGTATAACCATATTGTGTCGCCTACGACGGATGTCGGAAAGACACATAGGCGTTGCTTTTTCGACGGCGTCGTCAACAATGTTAAGGTTTAGCTCTGTTTCTGACAAAGCTACACCAACAAAACCTCAATCATAGATGTAGCATGGGTAGTGGAGCCTACTGCACTAAAAAACATTTCATTGATTTCTGTATTTTTTTTGCTTAAAACCTCAAATTTCTGGACTTAGAAATAGCTCTTGCATATTAGGCTATTTTTGACAAAGTATAAGAGCTAGACCAACCAAACCTCAATCATACATGTATCGTGGGTAGTAGAGCCTACTACTCTAAAAACATTTCATGGATTTCTGCACTTTTTCTGATAAAAACCTGAAATTTCTGGACTTTAAAAAAAATCAATGTTATGATTTTGCGTTTAGGTCCGTTTCCTTATGTTCTATGTCAAATGCTTATTATATTGACAAAGCGGGACAGGCGACACATATAATTACGCGTAATTCATGTATACAATTGTGAAGTATTAAGAGAAGAATGCACATTTGCTTCCAGGATGGTCTAAGGTCTGGCCCCACCCTTTGAGACATAGTCCCTGGGTCATAACTTTGAAACGGTTGAGATCCACACCCCAGAACTATATATACAAATGCTTGGCATAAAGAGACAAAAGTTGACATGGTATTAGAATAGACCCTGGGGTCTGACCGAACCCCTAGGGACCTAGTTTCTTAGTCACAGCTTGGAAACAGTTAAGATCCCCACCCTATGACCATGCATATATACAATTGCTGAGTATAAAGAGATGAATGCACATATGCTTCCAGGATGGCCTTGGGGTCTGCCCCACCCTTGGAGACTTAACCCTATGTCCTAACTTTGAAATGTTTAAGATCCCCACCCCAAGACTATTAATACAAATGCTGGACAAAAAGAGACGAATGCAGTCATGATATTAGAATTGATCCTGGGGACTGGCCACAACCCCAGGGATCGAGTTTCTGAGTCACAGCTTGGAAACAGTTGAGATCCCCACCCCATAACCATGCATTAAATTGCTGGACATGAAAAATCTAATGCAGATATATATGCTACAAGGATTGGCCTTGGGTCTGGCATATTCCCTTGGATCTCATTTGGAGAATGTTTGACCATGATTGCTTAGATATTCAGGTGAGCGATACAGGCCCTCTGGGCCTCTTGTTCTCCTTGTGATAACGCGGAACTGATGCCGACTTTATAGTGCTACCTCACCGAAACATACTGCTGAAGACACCAAGCAGGACACCCCACCCGGTCACATTATACTGGCAGCGAGCGAACCAGTCGTCCCACTCTTGAATTGCTGAGCGTTAAACAGTAGTAGAAACTACCATTTTTGCAAAAGGCCAAAAGTGAGGCATTGTCATTGGAGACACTAGGAAGTGGAAAGTTGTTTAGAAAGAAGAGAAAAGATAAGATCCCAAATTTAGTCTTTTATGATCATGCAAAGGGAGCAGCTGGTACAATTCTTACGCCCTACCTGCAGGGACTAATTTCATGGTCACAGGGGTCAAAAATGTTAAAAAGTCACAGGGGTCAAATATATTAAATAATTCAAACAACAATATTTAAAGGACCATAAGGACCAGTCATGATACTTGGATATGATTTCTTAATACAGTTATGATGTCAAAGGTCAACTTTAAGTGCTAGTCGGGGGTCAAAGATCAACATGTTTCATTAGGCCCAGGGTCATGATATTTGGCTAGTCGATACCTGGGATAGAATGCTATAATGTTTCCTCATTAAAATTACCTTTACCTAATTTCAAGGTCACAGGGGTCAAAAATGTTAAAAACTTCAAACAACAATATCCTAAGAACCATTTGGACTAAAGTCACTAAAGGTATGTTTAAAAAATATGTAGACCAGCTGTGTGAATCGTTTTCTTTATTACAGTAATGAGGTCAAAGGTCATCCTTAAGTGCAAGATGTTGTCAAAGGTCAGCATGGGTTAAAAGTTTTAAAATTAAAATTTCAAATTTCAAACAACAATATCTTAAGAATGTTAAAATGTCTTGTGTTAAAATCTAGTTCCCAAGTTTGGTATGAAGTTAGCTATATGTCAGTTCCATGTAACAAAAGAAACAGGTGAGCAATACAGGCCATCTTGACCTCTTGTTATACAAGATTAACAAGACAACCGTTGCTGCCAATTGTCCAACAGTGTTGGTGTTAAAGTGAGTTTGATGATGTATCAAGGGAGGCGTATCAAGGTTTGTTGATGTATCAAGGGAGGCGTATCAAGGTTTGATGATTATCAAGAGAGGTGTATCAAGGTTTTTTATGTATCAAGGGAGGTGTATCAAGGTTTGTTGATGTATCAAGAGAGGTGTATCAAGGTTTGTTGATGTATTAAGGGAGGAGTATCAAGGTTTGTTGATGTATCAAGAGAGGTGTATCAAGGTTTGTTGATGTATTGTGTGAGGTGTATCAAGTTTTGATGATGTATTAAGGGAGGTGTATCAAGGTTTGTTGATGTATCAAGGTTTGTTGATGTATCAAGTGAGGTGTATCAATGTTCGATAATGTATCAAGGGAGGTGTATCAAGGTTTGTTGATGTATCAAGGGAGGTGTATCAAGGTTTGTTGATGTATCAACGGAGGTGTATCAAGGTTTGATGATGTATCAAGTGAGGTGTATCAAGGTTTGTTGATGTATCAAGGGAGGTGTATCAAGGTTTGTTGATGTATCAAGTGAGGTGTATCAACGTTTGATGATGTATTAATGGAGATGTATCAAGGTTTGTTGATGTATCAAGGGAGTTGTATCAAGGTTTGATGATGTATCAAGGGAGGTGTATCAAGGTTTTATGATGTATCCAGGGAGGTGTAACAAGGGAGGCGTATCAAGGTTTTTAGCTCACCTGGCCGGAAGGGCCATGTGAGCTTATCCCATGGTGCAGCGTCCGGCGTCCGTCAACTTTTTCCTTTAAAATGCTACTTGTCCTGAATGGCTCAGAGGATTTTGACCAAATTTGGTCAGGAGCATCATTGGCCAAAGGGTTCTCAGTTTTGTATAAACGGAGGGTATAACCCCCCTGGGGGCAGAGGGGCGGGGCCAAATAGGGGGAAAATAGGTAAATCTTTAAAAATCTTCTTCTTCTCAACCAATAGAAGGATTTTGACCAAATTTGTCCTAGAGCATCTTTGGACAAAGGAGACTCAAGTTTGTATAAACGGAGGGTGTGGCCTCTTTGGGGGCAGAGGGGCGGGGCCAAATAGGGGAAGTAGAGGATTTTTTCTCTCCTACTATACAAGTGAAGGGATTTAAACCAAATGCAGTCTGAAGCTTGGTCAGGAGCATCATTGGCCAAAGGGTTCTCAGTTTTGTATAAACGGACGGTATAGCCCCCCCTCGGGGCAGAGGGGCGGGGCTAAATAAGGGGAAAAAAGGTAAATCTTTAAAAATGTTCTTCTTCTCAACCAATTGAAGGATTTTGACCAAATTTGTCCTAGAGCATCTTTGGACAAAGAAGACTCAAGTTTGTATAAACGGAGGGTGTGGCCCCTCTGGGGGCGGAGGGGCGGGGCCCAATAGGGGAAATAGAGGATTTTTTTTCTCCTGCTATACAAGTGAAGGGATTTTAACCAAATGCAGTCTGAAGCATGATTAGGGACAAAAGAATCAATTTTGTATAAACTGAGGTGTGTGGGCCTCCTTCTAAGGGCAGATGGGTGGGGCCCATTAGGGGAAATAGAGGAAAACATCAAATATCCTTCTCCTTTTGTACCGATGAAGGGATTTTGACCAAATTTGGTCTGGAGCATCATTGGCCAAAGGGTTCTCAGTTTTGTATGAACGGAGGGTATGGTCCCCCTGGGGGCAGAGGGACGGGGCCAAATAGGGGAAAATAGGTAAATCTTTAAAAATCTTCTCCTCAACCAATTGAAGGATTTTGACCAAATTTGTCCTAGAGCATCTTTGGACAAAGGAGACTCAAGTTTGTATAAACGGAGGGTGTGGGCCTTCTGGCGGCATAGGAGCGGGGCCCAATAGGGGAAATAGAGGATTTTTTTTCTCCTACTATACAAGTGAAGGGATTTAAACCAAATGCAGTCTGAAGCATGCTTAGGGAGAAAAGAATCAATTTTGTTTAAACTGAGGTGTGTGGATTCCCCTTCTTTGGGGCAGATTAGTGGGGCCCATTAGGGGAAATAGAGGAAAACATTAAAGATCCTTCTCCTTCTGTACCGTTGAAGGGATTTTAACCTAACCAAACTTGTTTTAGAGAATCTTTGGGCAAAGGGAATTGAATATTTATAAATGGAAGATGCAACTTTGTTACTTGTACTCCTTTGATAAACCTGAATGGTACTCAGCAGGTTTTAAATTGAAAAATAAAATACCAGGTGAGCTATTAAGGCCCCTGGGCCTCTTGTTTGATGTATCAAGGGAGGTGTATCAAGGTTTGATGATGTATTAATGGAGATGTATCAAGGTTTGTTGATGTATCAAGGGAGTTGTATCAAGGTTTGATGATGTATCAAGGTTTGATGATGTATCAAGGGAGGTGTATCAAGGTTTGATGATGTATCAAGGGAGATGAACCAAGGTTTGTTGATGTATCAAGTGAGGTGTATCAACATTCGATAATGTATCAAGGGAGTTGTATGAAGGTTTGATGATGTATCAAGGGAGGTGTATCAAGGTTTGTTGATGTATCAAGGGAGTTGTATCAAGGTTTGATGATGTATCAAGGGAGGTGTATCAAGGGAACCAAAACTGTATAAACGGTGGGTCTTGCCCCCTGTGGGCTGAGGGGCGTTGCCAATTAGAGAAATATAGAATATTCTTAAAATCCTTCTTCTCCTGTAGGAATGAAAGGATTTGTTCCATATTTTGTCTGAAGCATCCTTGGGTGAAGGGGAACCAATTTTGTATAAATGGTAGGTCTGGCCCCCCAGGGGTGTGATGGGCAGGGTCCAATAGGGGAAACATAGCAAATTATTCTTTAAAATCCTTCTTCTTCTGTAGGAATGAAAGGGTTTGTTCCATATTTGGTCAGCAGCATCCTTGGGGAAAGGGGAACAAATTTTGTATAAATGGGTGGGTCTGGCTTCCTTGGGAGCTGAGGGGCGGGGCCCAATAGAGGAAATATAGCACATTCTATAAATCCTTGTTTTTCTGGAGGAATAAAGGATTTGTTCCATATTCAATCTGAAGTATCCTTGGGTGAAGGGGAACTAATTTTGTATAAACGGTGGATGTGGGGGACCTGAGGGGAGGGGCCCAATAGGGGAAATAGACGTAAATCTTCAAAATCCTTCTTCTTCGGTAGGAATGACAGAATTTGTTCCATATTTGGTCTGTAGCATTCTTGGGTGAAGGGGAACCAATTTTGTATAAACAGTGTGTCTGACCCTCCTGTAGGCAGAGAGGTGGGGCCCAATAGAGAAAATAGAGGTAAAACCTTTAAAATCCTTCTTCTACCATAGGGATTAAGGGATTTTATCCTAATTCAGTCTGGAGCATCCTTGGGCCAAGGGGACTCAATTTTGTATTAGCAGTAGTTGTGGTCTCCGAGGGGGGCAGAAAGGCGGGGCCTAATAGGAGAAATAGAGGTAAAACCTTTAAAATCCTTCTCCGCCCATCGGGATTAAGGGATTTTATCCTTATTTAGTGTGGAGCATCCTTGGGGGACGGTGACTCAATTTTGTATAATTGGTGGGTATGACCCCCGAAGGGGCATAGGGGTGGGGCTCTGTTTGAAGTTTGTTTTCGCTATATCTCAAGTACTGGATGGATCTTTCTGAAATTTCATATGTACTTACAGCACCTACTATGGAGTGCTATATCTTTACTACATACCAATTATTTTAAACATATTCAGGTGATCGATACAGGCCCTCAGGGCCTCTTGTTCAAATATAGCCTTTCTTGAGCAAGGAATTATCATTTTTAAAAAGTAGATTATAAAAATGATTAGTGTCGAAATGATGAATGCAAACAGGAAAATTGCATCCCTTGACATCAGATTTTAAGTATCTAAACTTACAGGGATATGAGTTGACGTCATCACACATGAAAAATTCTATTGATTCATCTCACAGTGATTATGCAGCAGTTTGATCACCCCCACATTATACATCTCATCGGAATCTGTTCGGAGACCAGACCAGTCTGGATCGTCATGGAGCTTGCCAAACATGGGGAGGTAACATCATTCTATAGCTTTTCAGCTATCTTATTTACGAAGCATTGAGGGTATCTTACAAGGTTTATTAAAACATGGAAGTTAAAAGTCACTTAATAACAGGATATGGAGACCTGATGTACCTGCTGATTGGCTTCCTAAGCAAGCTTCAACAATATTGAATAGATAGAGCACACACATTTGTCATCCAAAAATTTGGTGCAAGGATATTTCATTGTTATACCAGGTAGTGGTGAATTTTGTGTACAGCATGTTGGTCCAGTTAAATGTAAAGTTGTAATATTATTCCAATGATACCTATGCATCAAATACAGCCTCAGTTGGGTGCCTTTGTGAAGCCTGCTCACTATCTACAATAATTAATCTCTTGATGCCAGTTATAGGTCATCCACTGAAAAGCTAGAACAATATGGCAGCTATTGATTTCATTTTGGAACGCATGCTCACATTATGATTATTCAAATCATCCAATAGGTTCATACAATAAAAATCAACAATTGAGAATTGTGTGAAGGATTTCATTGGGCAGGTGTTAATTCTTCTACAATATACTTAAGCTTGTTTGTGTTACAGATGAGGGCCTATCTACAAAAGAATGCACACATTCTTGACCTTTGTACATTAATACTGTACACCTGTCAACTCTGTACCGCGCTGTCCTACTTGGAGAGTAAAAAGTTTGTCCACAGGTAAATAATATCTTCACCTGTCAACTCTGTACAGAACTGTCTTGCCTGAATAGAAATAGTTCCTCATACCTTTGTCACAAGAACTCTGTATGGTGCTGTCTTACTTAGAGTGTTGCATGTTTATCCCTAGGTAAGTATCCATTCACCTGTGAATTCTGTACGGTACTTTCTTAACTGAAAAGTAAAAAAGTTTGAATTTGAAGATTTAAATCGTTATGAAGATACACTGTGGCGCTAATGGAATCTGTCTAGATGAATGTTTCAGGTAAAGTTTTTTTCACTGTGGTTCATTTTGCAAATTGGTCATTGTGGAATATATTTTTATAAAAATGAAATCATTGATAGAATGTTTGTTGTAGGGATATTGCTGCTAGGAATGTGCTAGTATCATCCCATGACTGTGTCAAACTGGCTGACTTCGGACTGTCACGGGTGGTAGAGGAACAAAGTTACTATAAAGGTACTAGTTTACTGCTGGGGCCTGTTTCACTTTCCTCTCCATAGTATCTCCCGCAAATTGGAGTTGAAATTTATAGACACCAAATACATACTACTGTTAAATATTGATACCAAGCAAAAACATATACCTTTTACTTCCTTGTGTGAATTGACTTGAGACTGGTATTAGATTAAACTTTAAGATATATCAGTTTACAATTTTCTCAAAAAAAATCTCTATTTTCTCAATATTTGTCTTGTTATGATTATTGTTAATATGTATGCAATATGATGAAAAAATAAATGTGTGTCTCAGTTAAACCTAACTCAGTAATAAAGTGGATTTTAATAGCAGTGAATGTAAGGGTCCTAGCTTGCCATACATTGTAATTCCAATGTGAAGAGTGAAATTAACTCCAGGCTGATATGGATTTTACTGGTAAAGGGCAAATATTTGACTGCGTAAACGTTACCTGATATACAGTTATAAAGTGATAACAATACTTTCTTTTTAAAATATCGAATATCATTGCTAATGTCATTATTAAATTTCTTTTCAAGCTTCCAAAGGAAAGCTGCCCATTAAATGGATGGCACCTGAATCTATAAATTTTAGACGGTTTACTACAGCTAGTGATGTGTGGATGTTTGGTAAGTGGTCAGTTAAATATACTAAGAACTGGTCAGTCACGTCAAGCATAAATAATAATAATAATTTAAATAATTGGAGGTTCTTATATACCGCTTTATCACAACCTAGTTCGTAGGTCGTCTCAAAGTGGTTCACAAAATATTATCTGTGGTTATAGGGCCTTTGCAACCAGCCAATACATATCTCAACGCCCTGGGGAGCATACAGCTGGAGCTGCCATTTCGGCGCTAACAGCTAGCATTCAACAATTCTAGCACTGCCCAACCACGTACTAATTTACAGCTGAGTAGACTGGAACAAGCGAAGTAAAGTATCTTGCTCTAAGATACAACACAATGCCGTGCCGTGCCGCGAACCCGCAACCCTTCGGTCACAAGCCTGGCGGCCTACCACTGAACTGCCTCCTAAAGGTCTATAGAACCCTATAACTACATGACTGAGCATTTCAGTACTAGAAGTACCAGTAATCTTTATCATGTTCAGGAACAGGCACAGGTCAATGTAAAGCTCTCTACGGTGACATGCATACCCTTTCTATAAGTGTTATAAATATTTATGCTAAACTTGGCTCTTTGTATTAATTGTCTTAAATACTGACTGTTCAGGTACACCAAAAATACACTGACAGGTAAATCAGTTGTATTAAATACTGTCTGTTCAGCAAGGTACACAAATATTACACTGACAGGTAAATCATTTGTGTTAAATACTGTCTGTTCAGCAAGGTACACAAATATAACACTGACAGGTAAATCAGTTGTATTAAATACTGTCTGTTCAGCAAGGTACACAAATATAACACTGACAGGTAAATAAGTTGTATAAAATACTGTCTGTTCAGCAAGGTACACAAATATAACACTGACAGGAAAATCAGTTGTATTAAATGCTGTCTGTTCAGCAAGGAACACAAATATAACACTGACAGGTAAATCATTTGTATTAAATGCTGTCTGTTCAGCAAGGTACACAAAAATAACACTGACAGGTAAATCAGTTGTATTAAATACTGTCTTTTCAGCAAGGTACACAAATACAACACTGACAGGTAAATCATTTGTATTAAATACTGTCTGTTCTGCAAGGTACACAAATATAACACTGACAGGTATATTATTTGTATTAAATGCTGTCTGTTCAGCAAGGTACACAAAAATAACACTGACAGGTAAATCAGTTGTATTAAATGCTGTCTTTTCAGCAAGGTACACAAATATAACACTGACAGGTAAATCATTTGTATTAAATGCTGTTTGTACATGTTCAGCAAGGTACACAAATATAACACTGACAGGTAAATCATTTGTATTAAATACTGTCTGTTCTGCAAGGTACACAAATATAACACTGACAGGCAAATCAGTTGTTTTAAATACTGTCTGTTCAGCAATGTTCACAAATATAACAATGACAGGTAAATCATTTGTATTAAATGCTGTTTGTACATGTTCAGCAAGGCACACAAATATAACACTGACAGGTAAATTATTTGTATTAAATGTTGTCTGTTCAGCAAGGTACACAAATATAACACTGACAGGTAAATCAGTTGTTTTAAATACTGTCTGTTCAGCAAGGTTCACAAATATAACAATGACAGGTAAATCATTTGTATTAAATGCTGTCTGTTCAGCAAGGTACACAAATACAACACTGACAGGTAAATCATTTGTATTAAATGCTGTCTGTTCAGGTAATCATGTCTAATTTCATCATGCTAATTCAAATGTTTTAAAGTAGGTCAACTCTTAGCATGAATAACATAAATAATATGATTAAGGAATTATTGTTAAACTTAAAGGTCTGAATTATCCGTCAGTAAAATAACCATTTTAATTTTAAATTTAAAAAATCCAGAATTTTTCAGTTTTGGCTTGCTAGCTTTGCTTTGTTTTCATTAAGGTAAAAAAAGGCTAGAGCAAAGTTTTGAATTGAAAGAGAAGGCTTTGTTTCTAAAAGGAAACATTGGCAGAAATATGAGCTGATTTGGAGGACAATTCTTTTCCAAAATATGGAAATTAATTGTTCACACAGTCAAACTGAAGTGTTGGAAGAAGTACAGAGCCTGCATAAGGGAAACAAATTACACAATATATTACATGCTTTTGTGATTTTTCAATGTGGTGAAAATGACATAACAAACAGTTGAAAACTAATAAACACTGCTTTGAATCTTTCTTTGTGAGACATATCTCAGACCCGGAAAATTCTGTCATGAATGCTGAATATATGATTTTAAATCTCAGAAGTTGGCAGTTCTGAGTATGTAATGCAGTCAATAGCAGTTTAATAATTGGGTTATAGCAAAAATATGTACGCATATATGTGTAAGCCAAAAAAAAATGGAAAAAAGTCAGAAGTGCACTTTCATGAATATTTACTGGCATTGTTATACTTGGGATGTTTCATAATAACAGATCTGTGAGAAAGTAAATAAGATATTGTTTTACTTGGAACTAAAAAATCCTTTCTGTTCACAGGTGTGTGTATTTGGGAAATCCTGATGTACGGAGTCAAACCATTCCAACATGTAAAGAATAATGATGTGATAGGCAAAATAGAGAATGGAGAGAGGCTGCCCCTCCCGCCAGGCTGTCCCCCCTCCATGTATAATCTGATGTGTGTGTGCTGGTCCTATGAACCATCGAAGAGGCTTTCTTTTGCTGAGCTGAAAATTCTTCTTTGGTGAGTAAAGGTTTATGAGACCAGACTATTCATGGTTGAGCTCCCAACCAATAGCCATATATACGATTGCTGGGCATACACATCCAGGTGAGTGATACAGGCCCTCTGGGCTCTTGTTTATTTTACTGTTTCTTACAGCTATATAATGATATATATTTGCCAGTCTCCAACATCATTTTGTCTGTAAAACCACATTCAAAAAGCCATATTTTGATCATACAGTAAAACCCCACTTACCTCAAACTCTGTTTACTCGAAATACCTTTCATTCGTCGAACAGTTTGTTTGGTCCTGACCGAGTTCGTACATATTCTTTGTAAAGTAACCCTGGATTAGTCAACTTCTATTCCTTGAATTCCCCGTATTCCTGGAACAAAAATTTGTCCCCAACTGTACATGGTCATAGTATTAATCCTATCTATTCATGGAATAGGTGTGATCTGTCACGCCTGACAGATATTTTACCTGTGTATTGCCCCCATTGCATGATCATAAGAGGCAACTAAATTTAGGTAGTTTCTACTCCTGCTTAACCCTTTGCCACATGCAAGCCAATAAACTTGAGCACACAGCTCTGTACTGATGGTGCAAAGATACAATGTTGCAATGCAACATTGCTGAGCCCGTCAACTTTTCCTAAAAATCGATACTAGTCATAAACTACTGAGCAGATTTTGACCAAATTTAGTCAGAAGCCTCCTTAGGTGAAGGGGAACAAATTTTGTGTAAATGGCGGGTCTGCTCCCCCTTCCCCCCTGGGGGCTAAGGGGCGGGGCAAATTCTTTAAAATCCTTCTTCTTCTGTAGGAATGAAAGGATTTGTTCCATATTATGTCTGGAGCATCCTTGGGTGAAGGGGAATTAATTTTGTATAAACCCTGGGTCTGGCCCCGAGGGGCCTGAGGGGCGGGGCCCAATAGAGAACACATAGTAAATTCTTTAAAATCCTTCTTATTCTGTAGGAATGAAAGGATTTGTTCCATATATTGTCTGAAGCATCCTTGGGTAAAGGGGAATCAATTTTGTATAACGGTGGGTCTGGCCCCCCTGGGAAACAGAAAATTATTAGCTTGCATTCTCCGTAGGACCAAGGTGAGCTTATGCCATACTGTGGCGTCCGTCATCCGTCGCTGAGGGGCGGGGCCAAAAGGGGGCAACTTGGCTATATTGCTATAGGCGACTTCTTCTCTGGAACTAAGAAATGGATATCAACCAGATTTGACTGGAAGCATTCCCAGGTGGTGGGAAATCAAAATTGTACAAATGGTGGGGCTGACCCCTCCAGGGGGCTGAGGGGTGGGGCCAAAAGGGGGCAGTTTGGCTATATTCCTATAAAAGACTTCTTCTGTAGAGCTGTGCCATGGATATCGATCATATTTGGTAGGAAGCATTCGGCATTCATGGGAGGCAGGGATTCAAAATTGTACAAATGGTTGGGCTGACCCCCTCAGGCTAAGGGATGGAGCCAAAAATAGTTTAATACTTGGAAATGGTTGAGATCCCCACTGTTTAACCATATATACAATTGCTGTGTATAAAGAGAAGAATGCACATTTGCTTCCAGGATGGCCCTAGGGTCTGGCCCCACCCTTGGAGACATAGTCCGTGGGTCATAACTTTGAAAGGGTTAAGATCCCCACCCCAAAACAATATATATATACAAATGCTATTGAATGCAGTCATGATATTAGGATAGACCTTGGGGTCTGACCGAACCCCTAGGGACCTAGTTTCTTAGTCACAGCTTGGAAACAGTTGAGATTCCTACCCTATACCCATATATACAATTGCTGAGTATAAAGAGATGAATGCACATATGCTTCCAGGATGGACTTGGGGTCTGCCCCACCCTTGGAGACTTAACCCTTGGGTCATAACTTCGGAATGGTTAAGATCCCCACCCCAAAACTATATATACAATTGTTGGGCATAAAGAGACGAATGCAGTCATGATATTAGAATTGACCCCCGGGTTTGCCGCACCCTTGCAGACTGAACCCCTGGCCTGGGTCATAACTTTGAAACGGTCGAGATTCCCTCCCCAAGACTGTAAATACAAATGCTGGACAAAAAGAGACGAATGCAGTCATGATATAAGAATTGATCCTGGGGTCTGGCCACAACCCCAAGGATCTAGTTTCTTAGTCACAGCTTGTAAACAGTTGAGATCCTCACCCCATAACCATACATTAAATTGCTGGGCATGAAAAATCTAATACAGACATACTACAAGAATTGGCATTGGGGTCTGGCATATTCCCTTGGATCTCATTTGGAGAATATTTTGCCATGATTGCTTAGATATCCAGGTGAGCGATACAGGCCCTCTAAACTTAATTTTGAAATAATTGTTTTAGGCATTTTTAGTAAGTTCAAATTATGTTTAGAATTTCTTAAATTTTAATTCAGTGCTATTTTCCTAATAAAAACATAACACATAACCATGAAATCAACTGTATGTGTACAGAATAGACAAATTTCAAAATGTTGCAATTTGATTTATGATTCAATGAATACATGAAATGATTCAACAATGATATTATCATTTCCAAATAAAACAATAAACCATATTTCCAAAATTCTCACTAGAAGATTTAAAATACAGTTTATATTTAGGCATATACCCCCTGCAACGAAGTTAGGGGGTAAACTGTTATCAGCCTGTCCGTCCGTCCGTCCGTCTGTCTGTCCCTAGAAAAAGTTTGTCGGGACAACTCCTTCTAAAGTAATGGATCAATTTCAATGAAACTTTCCCCATATGATAACTACCAACTAAAGTTGTGCATCTAGTTATTATTTTTAGGTCACCTGAGCTTTGCTCAAGTGACCTATTCCAATCGCTTTTCGTCCGTCGTCGTCCGTCGTCCGTCGT